TCTTCCTGACAAATGGTGCAGAATAATTGTATATCCATACATAAAAAATATATACCTCAACTTTAATTCACAAGTATATTAAAATTAATTTGAATAGAGTTCTTACATATAAATGTAAGAGCTAAAACTACAAAGTATCTAAAACAGAAAAAGATCTTTGTGACTTTCATTTTGGCAAAGATTTCTTTGAAAGAACACAAAAAGCATAAACCCATAAAAGGATAAATTGATAGTTGTACCTATCAAAATTAAAAACTTCTCTCCTCTAAAGAGACTGTTTAGAAAATAAAAATACAAACCCCAGTCTAGGAGAAAACATTTGCAAAATATATCTGATAGAGAACTTATATCCAGAATACACAAGGAACTGTTACCAGTCCATAATAATAAAAAGAAATTAATAATGATTTTTTTTAATAAGCACAAGATTTGTAAATTTCACCAAAGTAAATAAATAATCTGCTGATAAGCACATGTAAAGATCCTCAGCATCATTACCTATTAGGGAAATGGAAATAAAATCACAATGAGATACCACTACACACTTCTTAGAATGGCTTTAAAAAATTTTGTTTTTGAGGGATATTTTACAATACCTGAAGCTGTCTATTATGCGATTTTTGTTAAATTAACATTTGTTAAGTAGAGTCCCAGGATGTGGGATGGCGAACCAAGGTTCAACAAAAATGGCAGAGGAAAGTGATATAGAGAAGTTTATTACTCACATGTCCAAGAGGAGGTACATGGCATTCAAGGGGCCACATGGGGAAGTCAAGGAAGAGTACAGGCTCTGAGCAACAAGACCTGAAGCATATGCCTCTTATGATCTGAGAGTGGAGTGCTTTGAATGCTTGGGCTAAGGCTGGTCAATTCAAACCAAAAAAAGTGGGGTTTTGGTAAGCACCAGAGGTCTATTCTAAGGAGCTACAAGGGGAAGGAACAGGGAGGCAGGAAAGACTGTTTACCACAACTGGCACTGGGGGAGTCCAGAGCAGGATCTTACACTTACTTGTGCCTCTCTGTGGGCTATTATCTTGGGCATACACTCAAGGAAGGGAGTAGTGTCGGTTCAAGGTTTCTGCAGGCCACTTTGCCACATAAAATGGATGCCAAGCAGCAATATTACAAAGTAATTTAGCTAAGCTCTCAACACTGTCACAAACCAGAGGAGATTAAAGAGATATCATGACCAAGTGCTATGTGATATTCTGGTTTGGATTCTGGAACAGAAAAAGGATAGTGAAATTCAAATAAAGCCTGGAATATGGTTAATATTAACCTATATACGTTGCTGTTTTCAGTTGTCACAAATGTATTATGATAATGTAAGATGTGAACATTAGAAAAAACTGGGTGAGGGCACATGGGAACTTTCTTTACCATCTTTGCAACTTTTTAATTCTAAAATTAGTCCCAACACCAAGAAAAATAATTAAAAAATCAATTGAATCCCTCTACTGGTATTTACCTCAAAGACTTGAAAACTCATATCCGAAAAGATATTTGCACACCAATGTTTATAACAGCATTATTCACAGTGGCCAGGACATGGAAGCAACCGAAGTGTCCTACGATAGATGACTGGCTGGTACATATATACAATGGAATATTACTTAGCCATAAGAAGAGATTAAATACTGTCATCTGCGACAACATAGATTGATCTCGAGATAATCATGCTAAGTGAAATAAGCCAGACAGAAAAAGTTGAAAACCATATGATATCACTTATATGTGGGATATAAACCTAAAACAACAAATGAACAGGACAAAGAAACAGAGACTCATGGACATGGACAATGGACTAGTGGTTACCAGAGGTGGCAGGCAGGGGTGGGAATAGGGGAGGTAGATGGGGGAAGAAAAAAAAGAAAAAAAATATAAAAATCATTTATTCAATTAAAAATAAATAAATAAATGAGAATCTAAAAATACATAAATAAATAAACTGACCATGTATGTATGGGTGTTTTTCTGGATATTCTTCTTTCTATTCCATTGATATTGGTCTATGCTTAGGCTAATATCACACTGTCTCTACAATTACACTTAAACCAATATTTATACTCAGCTGAAATGTGATAGTGTAAGTCCTCCAACTTTGTTCATTTTCCAAATTATTTTGGCTCTTCTAAGCCTTTGCACTTCCATATAAGTATAGAATTGGCTGATTAATTTCTTAAAAAAAAAAAAAAAAGCCTGTTGGGCTTCTACTCAGAAGTGAGTAAATCAATGTGGGAACAAATGACATTATAACATTATTGGGTTTTACAATCCATGAAAATAATCAATCTCTCCATTTATTTTGTTTTAAAATTTCTCAGCAATATTTCACAGTTTTCAGTACTTATCTTTGATTTATTCCTAAGTATTTTAATAGTTTATCATGTTATTGTAAATGGATTCTGAAATTTTACTTTTCAATGTTTGGTTGTCAATACACAGAAACACAATCTTTTTTGTATTATTGGCCTTTTATTCTGGGAACTTGCAAAATTCATTTTTATGTTTTAGTTAATATTTGTCGATTCTTTAGGATTTTATATGTATAAAATCATGTTGAATATAAAGAAACTTTTACTTCTTTCTTTCTAGTTTCTATGCATTTCATTTTTTTCTGTCTCTTACTACACAGGCCAGGACTTCTATTACAACTTTGAATAAAAATGAGAACAGATATTTTTGTTTTGTTTCTGATCTTATGTAGAAAGCAGAGTTGACCAAAACAGTTGACTAGGTATTCCATTAGCAAAAAGGATTTATTCTGGAAAAAAAAAAAAGAATTGCAATTGGTATACGCAGACTTGGTGAGCCATGTGCACAGAACTGAAGCAAAACAAAGC